ACAAGGGATCAAAAAAAGGAGCAAAATATTTGGTAAAAATGTGGCACACGAAATACTTGTCTACCAGTTTTACACATTAGGTATTTAAAAAGTTGTTAAGCAAACTTTCAAATTAAATACTCTGCCTTAAATTGTGCGAGGCCCCCGACCTGCACACACACACGTATATATAAATACATATAGTATTTCGAGGGGCACCTAGGGGTGTCCTGGCTGGCACTTGATGCCCGGCCCCGTGCATTCCCCTCTCACTTATTGCATTTTGCATGTGTATGGAGCGTTGTTGTTATTATTTTCCCTCACATTCGTAGGCAAGGAGCACCAAATTAAGGAATTCTGTCTGCAAGAAGTAATTAAAATTGTGAGGAAAGCCATTATGCTGACGTTTGACAACAAAATCGGTCTGAAGAAGTGCTTTAATTGAGAGAGAAAGACACTGAGCTTGAGTGCTATCCTGGCCAGAAAGTATTATATTTTAAAATATATATGTCGAGATGGCAATTGGAAAATGCAAATGTAGAGCCGACCCCGGTCGGAATAAGATTAAAAATGCATGACATCAATTATAAGAAGTTTTCTTAATTTTCTTCCGCCCATAACTCACATCGGTGCTCCTTCTACAAGAAAACTTTTTTCCGACAAGGGCACACACACCCTCAAACACACATATTTTCCTCCATTTTCACATTTCCACACAGAGCGTCGAGCGCATTTGTTTATTCCTCGATTGCGTACAAACATTTGCATTTGCATAGACAAGTTAAAAGCATCTCCTTTAGCACTCTGCCCCGCCAGGAAATCCTAGAAACACAGTGAGAAAATGTCCTTTCTAAAAGGTCTTAAGAATATCCTATCGAACAGATCCTTTTTATGGCTTTCGGTGTTTAATATTGAGGCTTAGAAAATGATTTTCTTATCATATTTTTGATAAATAATCCATTAGGGTTATAAATTGTGAAGAACATCAAAGAAATAACAAAAGAAATGTATTTTTATTTATAAATAATTTTAAACCTAAACTTAATAATACAATAAGCAAAAAAAAAGCTTATCTATTATGTATCAATTCTCTCCGGCTATTTCCTATCACAGAAAATATTCTAAAAAATATTTTCCCTAACTCAACATAGACTTTCCTTTCTCTGCACACCCAAGGACCCAGAATCAGGAGCAAAACGAACTTCCTGCTGCCTGAATGCGTCTCTGAGTCAATGCAGCTGGCGCTGCAAATGTGTGGAAAAAGTCCTGCCAGCCAGCCAGGCAGTCAGCCTGCCAGCGTCCTGCCTCCATGCGAGATTGCAGATTTCATATGCAAATTTTGCACTTCTTCAGAAAATTATTCAAATTACTTGTGAGCGACAAGAGCGAGTCCTTGCCATGTCCGCCTGATCCACTATCCTGGCCGCCAGCCCCTCTCCCCCGGATGGATGGATATAAACAAAACGAGACACCTTTTACCCCGGGGCCCTTAAACAAGTCAACAGCCTTGGCCGTTTGACAGCCGCATCGATGGGCTAAATAAAATGTAAATATTGCCCCCATCAATCAGGGAAAATGCCGGAGCGGGCTCATCATGGCTTGTAATCCCTTAATATTATTAAATAATTAACACGCATTACTTGGCTGGTTTATGGCAGCTTTGCAACTTTCTCGGCGGAACCCGGAACCTCGCTAGGATTTAGCCATCAAAAGATAAACGCAATTACGGCCCGGAGAAGAGTTGAGTTCCCGAAAATTGAAAGCAAGACAAAAGCCGCGCCGCGAAACATGCAAATTAGCGTGGTGGAGCGCGGCGAACGAGTTAAAGTTCGTTTTGAGCCGAATTTGCATATTTAAATGGCATTCTGCCAGACACTTGACAGTCTAACTGGCAGTTGGTAACATTCACCGTCGTCCTGCGACCTGCGACCTGCCGCTCTGCGCTCCTTGATCCTGTCACTCCAGGGCGACGGCATCGGTGACAGTCGTCGGGGCCTTGTCACGTTTCTGTTGCCTCATAAAAGTGAGATTGAATTTTGAACGGGGTGGCCAAGGCAAATCGTGCTGCTGCTCCTTCTTGGATTTGGAATTGCCTCAACTTTTCCGTCCAGGGTGTCTGCGCTTAATAGGCCACATGAACTTGAACCCAGCGAGCCGCGCAGTGATGCCAACAAACAAACTTTGAAAGCAGTGAAAGTTCAGAGAAAATATGTGTATTTTGTATACAAATTAAAAAAGTAGAGCAATAAACTTTAGTCATTAAAAAAAAGTATTTTATAATATCTAAAGCAATACAAAATATACACAAAAAAGGAGCTTGAACTCTTTATTTGTGAAACTTCAATGGTTTTAGGTATTTATTACGTTTTGTGTAATATTTAAGACAATTAGTACAGTATTTCAAATTAAGAAATGTGCCTAGAAAAGTCTTTAAAGCTAAGTCAAAGAATGTATAATTAACTACTTGAAAAACGTAAATAAATCACCGAAAAATCATGATGGAAAACAGCTAAAAACTTACAACTTTTTCTTAAAATATATCCAAATAATTTCTTATTTAAAAGCATAGTAAACTAAGCCAACACTGCTCAACCCGAATGATGATGAGACAAAATTGTTGCACACGCGCCAGGATCCCAAGTTAAAGTGAAAGTCGAGCCGAAAGTTTGTGAGGAAAAGGCGGAAGTCATTAACGTCTGGTCTGAGACGATTTAGTGTCATGTGTGTGTGCTTGTATATGTTGTGTGTGTTTTCGGGGTAACTCCTATTTATAACTACTCATCAGGGAAGGACTTGGGTTTGGGTAACCAAAGATGTGCATAATGAAGAGCGAAGGACTGCGGATTTCTTTTACGGCCCCGCGGCGATTTAATCCTGCTTGGTGAATCAATGCACTTTCATTTTATCCTTTTGAGATTTTAAAGTCATGGCTACCCTCTCAAGTTTCAACAGTTTTAAGCCTTAGGGGAAAAAAAGAAAAGTAGAGAAAGTGCCTAAAACAGCTTGGTTTCCAAAAAGGGTTGATTGATTTTTAATGCAAATAAGTAAAAGCGATTTTAGGTTGTTGTTTTGAGGGAAATTCATTATTTTTAGAGGCTTTGATTTGCTTTTTATATTGAGTAAAGAAAAATAAAAACAAGAAAGAAAGCTAACTTTGGCCAGCCAATGTTTGTAGGTAACAATTAAAATATATCATAACTAAGCCAAAAAAGCATTAATTTCGATTCGGAAAGCAGTTTTGTGTTAGTTTTTATTAATTTAAAAAAACTGCATACCAAATTTAAAATTTTAAGAAATCAAAATTTTTGGCCATTTTTGCTAATTTTAATGATGTAACCCCTTATGAAATTTCGCAAAAATGGCCAAAAAATCGATTTCTTCCTGGCATATCTAGAAAGATTCCCCTGTTGATGCTGATCAAGAATATATGTGGTTTATGGGGTCGGAAATGATTCCTTGACTTAGAAAAATATTATTTTGTATTATAAAATCGGATTTTTTATATTAAAAACTTGTTGATTTTTTTAAATTAAAAATATCATAACTCGGCCAAAAGAGCATTAATTTTAAATTGGAAAACTGTTCTGTGCAAGATTTTCTACAGTTAATAAATCTGCATACTTCATTTAAAAATTTTGAAAATTCAATTTTTTATCAAAATCAACAATTTTAATGATGTAACCCCTTATCAAATTTCGCAAAAATGGCCAAAAAATCGATTTCTTCCTGGCATATCTAGAAAGATTCCCCTGTTGATGCTGATCAAGAATAGGTATATATACTTTATAGGGTCGGAAACGTCTCCTTCACTGCGCTGCAAACTTCTGACTGAAATTATAATACCCTGCAAGGGTATAACAAGGTAGACTTTCCTTTTAATTAAATCAAGAAAACTAGCCAGTTAATCAACCCAAATGTCCTTGTATCACTTCACTCAATCCCTCCCAAAGGACGCATTCAACTGTCATTTTCTACCAACGATACATACCTGCCACCTCGATACCTGAATTAATGGCCATCAATCAATGTTCAAAATTTTAAAATTTCCATTTGCCGCAACGCAGTTGATGCTTTTGGGGACGAAAACCCGTTAAAATTGAGAGCAAATGTGCGATGTGTGTCCCAACAGAGACGCGATGTTTGATTGACACAACGCTAATTGGCAGCCATTCGGACTGTCCATAATATGCCAGGATTACAGGGATTACGCAACATGCATGCCAAGGGTAATCAGCAGACAGACGCAGCCAAAAAAAAAAAAAAAAAAAGAAAAATCTAGGAAAAGTCTGGGGCGGAAAATCAAATCACAAACTTGTGGCATAGTTTCGGCTGGTCGAAATAAATCACGACAAGGATTCGACGACAAGGACACTGGGTATGTACACGCAATGATAAATCGAAAAATATTTTCACTTGTTTACACAAAACAATTCGAAGCGACAGACCAACTAGGAGGACAGACTGTGGAAGCTTGACAAAAATGTCCGACATCTTCAGACAACTTGGGCTTCTCCTTCTGACCAACAGAACTCAATAAAAAGTTACACAGACTCGTGCAAAGCGTTCAACACTTGGAGAAAAAACAGGGGTGCTTAAAAATGTAATAAAATGTATGATTGATAAGATGTATTATCGGAGAAGAGAAGTTTACTTGGTTAATATAAGCTTTAAATACATTATAAATTCTAACTTACACTTAGATTAAATTCCAATTACATTTCTTTAAATATCTTACTCTTTTAATATTTTTCTTCCAAGTTATTTATTTATTTTTTCGCCAACTGTAAGAGCTCCTTTTAATGAACGAACAAACAGACGAGCTGCGGAGGATTACGCTACCAATGGACAGTGACTTCCCAGACGACCCCAGGAACCCCCTACCGACCAGCCAACGAATCGAGTTGAGTAAACAACTTGCGCGTCCTTGTCCACTTTTAGTCCTTGCCACCACCACCCCACTCTCCACATTTCAAGTGTTAATTGTGTGCGTGATTTAAGCTTTGCTCGGCGGGACCCCGGCCACCCTCTTGACCAATTCGAATAATTGCTTTTTGATTGAGTTCAATGCTGCGGAGGCTTAACTTAAATTTGAATTTTCAATCTGCTGGCACGCGTTGAAGGCTGAACAAGGATATATCTTTGGTCATGTTGTATCCCTTGGAACTACCTCGGCCTCGTCGGCCCATAAATAGGGATTATGGTGGAAAAACAGGACTTATACAGACTCCTCAGCGGGATGACAGACGTGGGCCTGGAAAAATAATGAGGATAATGCTGCCATATCTCAAGGACTATGCCGCCGAGTCCTCCGTGCATGGCATACGATATCTGGCGGAGCCAAAGATGAAGAACTTTGAGAGGTGAGATGTAGGAGAAATCTAAAGTAATTCTTGAATACCTATTTTTCCGTTCAGAATAATCTGGCTGCTGATCCTGGTGACCACCACCATAGGCGCCATTGTGGTCTATGTGGACCTGAACGCCCTTTACCAATCAGTACGCATCCAGACTACGATTAAGAACACCATGCTTCCCATTTTCCGAGTGCCTTTTCCCTCCATTGCCCTGTGTCCGCGAAATCGGATGAACTGGCGGGTACTGGAGAACGGTGCCGCTGAACACTTTCTGGGAGCCAATGCCTCGGAGGTCCAAAAGGATGTCTTCATTAGGTTCTTCACTGTGGCAGCAGATCCTCACTTGGCCCGCCTCGCAGAGCTGTCGAATTTCTTTCAGAACGAAACTCTAACAGCGAATCTTCACCTGTTGGATGGAGTGGATCTGGCCAAGGTGTATGAATATATACAGTTCAGGTGTCAGGATATAATGCATGCCTGTCGCTGGAGAGGAAATCCTGTGAATTGCTGTGAGGTCTTTGAGCTCCAGTTCACGGAGTCGGGCTTGTGTTATGTCTTTAATACGGCTATAAGTCCGGCATCGCGACAGAGAGAGGTGGGTGAATAATAGTAATAATTTCCCAAATATATTATATTATTTTCCTGCAGAAGGAAGACAAATTCTACCCACTTCGCACTCCCCAGTATGGCGAAGGATCCGGCCTTGATGTCTTTCTGCGACTCAACAGATCCCTCATTCGTCCTGGCAAGCGGGGAGTTAATGTGATGATCAAGCAGCCACAGCAGTGGAGCGACGTCGTCCGCCATGTGCCCCATGAGGCGCACACCAGGATCAGCATAGTGCCACGGCTCACGGTCACCGATGAGCGCACTCGGGCTGTGGGTCCTGTGGCTCGTCGCTGCATCTTTCCGGACGAAATCCATGATCCCTACTATAAGAACCTGCCTGGGTTTAAATACTGGGTGGGTAACTGTCGCACCAAGTGCCATCAGGAGCATGTCGTCGATCTGTGCAAGTGTTCGCCACATATTTTCTTTCCCGTGACGGATAAGGGTGAGTAAATTTAATATATATATATATTATATTTAATACCAACCTATAATAATACAAATTTCCACAAAAACAAAACATCAGAAAAATAGTACTAATATAATTTATATTTAATATTATTTTCCCTTTAGATAACTTTACGATCTGCAAAGCCTCGGACTACAAGTGTCTCTACGATCACCGTTGTGAGTAGTGTTATTTTTAATTTAATTTAATTTGATTCCCTAAATCCTAAATCCCCTTAGTAACTTTTAGCATTGAACGGCATCCCGACGAAAAGGATTTTGTGGACAATCTGTATAAGGAAAGTATGATCTGCGACTGTTTCACCAGTTGCACTCAGCTTATATTTGATCGCGTTTTCACCACAACAACACTGGAGTAAGTTTGAGCTTAATTAAAATATAAAAATAAATCTCTACGTTTTTTATTAGCAACAATGATACGAATACCGAGGCGGGCACAATGCGTGTGGATATATTCTTTCAGTCTGGTTGGTTTATCCAATATCAGACCACCATGAGATTTACCTTTGTGGAGCTTTTGGGTAGGTTCAAGGCATTTTTAGACTCCATTTAATATTAATTATGATTTTTATTCTACTTTTCAGCTAGTTTTGGTGGTGTTATTGGCCTTTTTCTGGGAGCCTCACTTCTGAGTGCCTTCGAATTGGCCTACTATCTTTCCATTGGCCTGTATTTGTACTTGCAAGGTGAAAGGAAAAAGGAAAAACTTAAAAATAAAAGCATTATAACCATACCTTTTGGCCAGAGGAAAATAACACCCACCAAGAACGTGAATTAGTAGTTTTATTAAGTACAATATCAATGTGAATGTTTTATAAATAAATAAACCAAAGTGTGTGTATTTAAAAGCTACCAAGCATTTTTTCGCTGGTTAAACGGATGTCTGATTTGATCCTTTGGAGCCGCAGGATGCTCGGCCAGATGACTGACTTCGTTCTTCAAGTAACTCTTAAATTTCCGCCACTTGAGCCTGAATTGTTTATTCAGGACTCGGTAGTATTTGTTGTCATACAGATGCATGGCCAGGCCCACAGTTAGGTAATAAACCAACTCAAAGGCACTGACCATGGAGGCACCAAGGCAAAGGCCAAAGATTCCGCCCAGATTGGCTTTAAAATAAAAATATTCAAATTAATTAGAATATATAAAGAAAATTAACTTCGGCTTGCCAAAGTTTGTGTAGCCTTTGTGGATTATCTTTTATAAATTTACCGATAGTTTGATTTTTATAAAATTACAATTACATAATGCCATTACAACAGTATTTATAAATCCATTTATAAATCCATGAACTTGAAATAATTACTAATAATGGATTTTTCTTAAATCTTAAATATATATTACACCAGTGCGTATACGTTATATTTTGGAACTGCTATAAATGGCTGAATTAAAATTTAAATGGCCATTTTTGACGGATGCCATCTTGCGGCAAAAAAAAATACAAACTGTGTTTCCGGTATACATTCAGCCCAAAAGTATGCCATGTATTGTCACCTTCTCTTTTTGCGCCCAAAAGATGCACCATTATATGGCCAGACAAGTCGGCCCCTCTTGCATATTGCTTTTGATTTGCATACAAATAATATTAGATGATACTTTTTGGGAAAATAACTATGCCAAAAACTAATTAATAAATTAATGAATTAATTAAATAAAATGTGAGTTGTTGTTTATGATAATTTTTGGGAAAACCAAAACGTAAACAAACTATAAATAACCCAAAAATTAAGTTCCATTCGGAAAGCTGTTCTGAGTTAATTTTTTTAGGGTTAATAAATCTCCCACTGAATTGAAATTCATTCATTTTAAGAAAATAAAAATATAGTTATATAAAAAATAGCCCATTACCTATCAAGTCAATAATGGTAAATTCCAGACTGGTTCTATACAAAGGCGTTGTTTCCACCTGGTAATGCACATCCACCTTGAAGAGCTTCTGCTGCGGATCCTTGGGGCTGCAATGGAAGATATTAAAAACAATCCAGTAAGAATACATATGTCAGAAGTTCCTACAGTCTGTTGGCGGACAAGGGCAACGTGGTGGTGGCTGTGTAATAATCCAGGAGGTAGCAGTTCACCAAACAGGAACAGGTCATTCCTGGCTTTGTGGCACTAAAAAGTTCATCCTCATCATGGCGTTTGTCATAGCTGAAAATGTCTGCAAGGAATTGAAGGACATTTATCCTTGGAGGAGTTAATCCTTACAAATCAGTCTTACCATTGTGTCGGGCCAAGCAGCGGAGACTGGATGCATCGCATTCTTTGACTAAGAGGGGAAAACAAAAATGTATATTTATTAAAGTTAAAATCATTGCAGATATTTTTTATATTTTTTACGTTCGCATAAAAGGTAACAGATGACGGCAGACAGCAGGAGGGCCTAACTAACTCCTTTTATATTATTTATATTTCTTAAATGATCTACATATATTATTATAAATTAAAAACTCACCCCTATTGTTATACAAAAAGAAAATAGGCAGCGAGCAGTTGCAGAGCTGAACCAAATAGGATTCGTGGCATCTATTCAGACAATTAGTGAGCTGAAAGTGTTTTCCATACTTCTTGGCCGCGTCATGGGTGTCCAGCTCAACTTGCTCGTCCGCAAAAAGGCAGTTTCTTCGCTCCGGCGGAATACTTCGTGTGGTCTCGTCCGTCCACGTGAGATCCGGTCGGACTGTTACATAGGTCTCCGTGTTTTGAGTCATTGAATACACAACATTGGTCAATTGGTCGGGTTTCTTAATCATTATCTGGTGGAAAAACGTAGATTTAAATATATATTTAAAATAATAAAAATTTACATTCTACTTCGAAAATGTATTCCTTTTTTTCTGAATAAATTTTAATTGTAGATGATCAGAAACCGGGTTAAAAATCGAATAAATTGCGAATAAATTCTTTGCCTACATTTTCACACCCTCAAAGACTATATTATTTGGAAAATTGTTTTGAGAAAATTCCTCTTAAAATCTTCTTACATAGACATTATCATTGGCCTGGGAATCCGGTCTCTTGAAGGTCTCGTTGATAATCAGATTAAAGTTCAAACCCGTGCCCTGACCCGCCTTGGCATTGTGTCTGGGATAGAACTTCACGCCTTCCCTTTCCCGGATCGCCTTGGAGCGGGGTGATATCTCGGAATTAAAAATAAGGCAAATTCCAAACTCCGTCTTCTCTGGCACAAAAAAGTCGCAGCAGTCAAAGGTTGAGCCACGCCACAGGCAGGACTGCGGCACCAAAATTTCCTCGCAGCGTAGAGTCAAAAATATGGCCAAGTCGGTGAGGTTCACAAAATTCACAGCCTCCAAATTATCGTCATCCAGCTGGGCCAAGGTAGCCATGTAGCTGCCAAAGCGAAGAGTCTCCAGGCGGGAAACCAGAACTGTGAAGCTCTCGACCAGCTCCACGCTGGAGTTTACAGGCAGGAACTCCTGCTTGGCCGCCTCCAACTTGCTCCAATTGATGCGATTGTCCGTGCAGATTCCCACGGCAGGAAATTGGACCAGAAACACAGGATACTGCGGATCATGGACCACAGTTTGCAGCTTCTGGGACACAAAGCGCTCCGAGAGCAGCAGGTAAAAGAAGCAGGACAGGCCCACGCTGATGATGAGGAGCACACACCAAATGAGTCTGGCGGAGGAGGATGGAATTATTTGTGAAAATTATATTGACTCTGACTCACCTCTCCACATTATGCAACTGGGGATCGTACAAATAGCGGACGCAGTGAATCGTGGACTTTTCACAGTAGCTCCGAAAGTACTCCCTCAACAGGTCCAAAAAGGACTTGTTAGCGGCAGCCGCACTGTCTGCTGCCTCGACCGATTTACGAGTGATAGCACCTTTGGCCATAGTCACTCAATCGCACTGAGCTTTTCCCGGGAATCCGGGGAACCCTTTTATGGCCGCAGACTTTGCCTCTGGACATCCATTACGGCTCACAAGCTCTGTAATTGAGTAGTTATGTTTCCGGCGGCCAATTGATAAGCGCCAACAGAAGTGGCTGTTTAGCTCATTGAGTAGCCGCAGTCAAACTGCCAATTAGCCCATGAGTTTCCCACAGTTTCGGTTTGGACGCCGTCGCGAAATGAGTCAAGTTGCGTGGAAGCCCGACGATAATGATGATGACCCCGAGGACATCAAGAAGGGAAAGAAAAAGCCAGATAATTCATTCGTTTCGGTCAGGAGGTGAGTTTGGGGTTTATAGAATTATAGATTGGCAACAAGAAAGTTTTCTAATAATAAAGGAGTGTTTGGAATATAAATAAATTATAGAGAGAGAGGCGAAAAAGTACCTTAAACCCAAGACTCTGAAGACAGCCTGAAAAATAAAGGTGTAACAATTATTCTGTCCTTTTCATATCTTACTTTCCACCTCTTCTAAATTATTATTTAATTTTTTATAAATACTTTTCAAGGTACGCTCGCATTCCCCTAAAAATAATAGCCGCTCTAGCCACTGTCTATGTGTGTGTGCTCTCCTCGGAAAGGTATTTCTACTACTGGGTACAGACCACCATCGAGCGCACCGATATGCATGTGTCGGAGATTAATTTTCCAGCCGTGACCATTATCCCCATGAACTTTACTAGTTTGAATCGATCGGAACAGTCGATGCGATACGAAAGGGCCTTCAATCTGGTGCAATCCGTGATTTGGCAGACTCCGGTGGCCGCTCGCTTGAGGGAGGAGAACTTTACAGAGTTTAGCGATATCGATGACCTTAGCGTGACATCGTGGGGCATCTACGCCTCCTGGCAGCTACATTGCCAGTCCTTCTTCACCGAGTGCCAGTGGCGAAGGAAGCCGGTGAACTGCTGTGATATCTTTCGCCCGGGAACGACATTCAATGGATTTGCTTTTGTATTTAACTCCGAAATCCTCTTGGATAGGGATCCCACCTGGCCGTGGTCGGTGGCTGCTTCGGGATCTCAGAGTGGTCTTAATGTGAAGATCAGGCGGAAGCAGAAACTGTATACTGTAAATACGTTGGGGGTGAGATTTTATTAGTTTAATTACAATTTTCTCATAATTTTAATTGATTTATCGCAGGTCATTATCCATGAACCCGAACAGTACCTGGGCATGGGCATTGACTACTCCTCGGAGGATCGCATTGTGGTGCCAGTGGAGCCTTTAAGTTTTTCAGCGGAAGAAGACGTCAGAGCCCGTCCCATTTCCATGAGGCGTTGTTACTTCGAGGTGAAAATAATTGAAATACTTTTAACTAAATATATAAATAACTTAATTAATTAAATTCCCCTTTAGACTGAAATCACTTCAGAGGTATCCCGTTCGACATGCATTTACAATTGTCATTTGAACTACATTCTGAACAAATGCAACTGCACAATTAATTTTCCAGTGCATGCCAAGTCGGGCCAGGAAAATATAACCGAAACTTCTGACCCAACACTAAGACTTTGTGGTGTGCCGGATCTATCTTGCTTTAATAAGCATAAATGTAAGGCCTCTATAAATATTTAAAATCTTCTTTAATACAATTATTTTACCCATTAGTAACCCTCTTCTCTATGAGCAACATCATCGAGGAGTCCCGGGACAACCAGTTTACCACCGTTGACTGCGGTTGCTTTCCCCAGTGCGATCACACCCAGTACCACACCTCCACCTACACGGAGAAAATGAGCACCCTCACCAGCCATGCCTCGGAGATCGAGATAGATGTGTACTTTCAAGAGGAGACCCTCTTCTCCTACCGCTCCATGCTGCGCTTCACCCTCATCGATCTGATGGGTAAGAGTTGAGACCTCTCTCCCTTTGAATTTCAGATTTTAATCGTTTTCTGTGGCGCAGTTTCCTATGGAGGAATAGCTGGCCTGATCATGGGCATCTCGGTGCTGGGCGGAGTGAATGCCTTCCTGGATCGCTTTGCCTGCTGTCGTCTTCCTAATGGCTCCTAGGCTCAGTCACAAACAGCTGCTTTCCCACATTTTACCTGTGCCAACCTGTAATCAAATCACAAACCTCTTCTTCGTCTGGTTCTTGGGATACAAACACATATATAAATAAATAAATCCAAACACAAAAGAAAACAATGGAAATTGTATAGCTACCTGCAAGGGCAGTGGAAAATTTCTGGATTTACTAAGAACATTCGGGAGTATCGAATGCATATTCCTATTTAAAATAAATATATATATAGAAAGCTTAAAGGTTTGGGAAACATAAAAAATATAATAAAATATTACAGGAAAACAAAACTATAAACTTTTTCATATTTAATAGATTATACTTCTTGTTTTTTCGTGTGTAATTAAACAATCCCCACATGTTCTGAGTTGGCTAAACATTTTCAATACTTTTATTAATTAGACAAAAAAAAGAAAGCAGTTTAATAAATTTAATAAATTTGAGAGATTAAAGGGGAGGAATCGCCTTATCAGGGGACAGAGCCGGGAGCCAGCTGCTTAGGTTATCAGATGGCATCAACACGTCCATTGTTGTCCACTTGGGCACATCACAAGAGCATTAACAAAGGAGGAGAGAGCATAATCTATCGGCATACATTTCGGACACTTCCCTTGGGAGACCGCGCAGGTACCAAGTCCACCATCGGAGCTCGGGAATCGGACCCCGCCCGAGGGGGTATAAATAGCGGCTGTCTGGGCCTCGACAGACACAGTCTTCGCTTGATCGTTGAACCAGCCACTGAAAGAAATCCCAGAATTATGAAGGTCTTTCTTGCCATCTGTGTGCTGATTAGCCTTGGCCTGGTAAGTGATCCCCGAACCGACCTAGAAAACGGTCGCCTCTGCTTTTATAAATTTAAATCTAATCAATGGCTTTCCCTTTAATTGCAGGCCTCGGCTGACTACCGCCTGAGGAATCGCAGCGACATGCTAACCTACCGCGAGGAGTGCGTCAAGGAGCTGGCCGTCCCGGCTGATCTCGTGGAGAAGTACCAAAAGTGGGAGTATCCCAATGATTCCACCACCCAGTGCTACATCAAGTGCGTCTTCACCAAGTGGGAGCTCTTCGACAAGACCACCGGCTTCAATGTGGAGAACATCCATCAGCAGCTGGTGGGCCATGGCGCCGACCACAACGTGGCCTTCCACGGCAAACTGGCCGGCTGTGTGGACAACAACGAGCAGGGTTCCAATGCCTGCGAGTGGGCCTATCGCGGTGCCACCTGCCTGCTGCGAGAGAACCTGGCTCAGATCCAGAAGAGCCTGGCACCCAAGGCCTAAGTTAAGACTTGAACTGATTTAAGCATTAATTTTAGTTAATAAACTCTTTAATTTTCGTGAAACTTAAAATGAAAGTATATTTTTTATTGCTTGGGTTAATGTTTTTGGAAAATAAATTAATATTCTAGCAGAGTTTTAAAGATTTAAAATTTTTATAAATTGTGTCATCAAGATTAATTTTTTATTAAATGAATATCTTATCAGCCTTCAAACCGGACCTGCACCTTCGTTTATCAGAAGGCATCAACACCTCCATTGTTGTCCACTTGCTGCTCTAAGTGCTCTAGTGACAAAGTAACCAAGTGCCCCATCCGCTGGTATATATATCTTGGCTCTATCTTTGGAGCAGCCAGTCAACGCCGGAAATCCCAGAGAAAATGAATACCTTACTGGCCATCTGTGTGCTTGTAGGCCTTAGCTTGGTAAGTCTTTATCCTGGTTTATTAATTAAATCTTTCCTTTTTTCTTAACCTTTGAACCCAGGCCTTGGCTGACTACAGACGGCGGAATCGCCATGACGTGCTCACCTACCGTGAGGAATGCGTCAAGGAGCTGGACTTGCCCGCGGATCTCGTGGAGAAGTTCAAGAAGCTGGAGTATCCGAACGAAACCCAGACCCAGTGCTATTTCCAGTGCGTCTTCTCCAAGTGGGAGCTGTTCAACAACCAGACTGGCTTCAATGTGGACAACATACATCAGCAGCTGGTGAACCATCCCACCGACAACAATGAGGCCTTCCAGGGCAACCTGGCCGGCTGTGTGGACCAGAACGAGCAGGGTTCCAGCGCCTGTGAGTGGGCCTATCGCGGGGCCACCTGCTTGCTGCGGGAGAACCTGGCAGAAATTCAGAAGAGCCTGGCCCCGAAGGTCTGGGATGAAGCAGTACTAACTTGAGCCTTGATTTAGCTAATAAACTCATTGGTTTTCCTAGCTGGTATTTATTTTCTTTTAGTAGAATATGAACATTACATGTATATTATAGTTTTCCTCACACCTCCTGGTTTAATGGCTAATGAAACCGAAGAAACCCCCCTTGTTAAGGCGGAAACTTTGTCGAAACTTTGCTCATTCGTCATGTTGCTGTACACCAAGGAACTTGTGGCGCCGCGTCCTCCCGACCAGGGTCTGCTCCGCTTCGGCAAGAAACCACCTGGGCTGAAGTACCGGGAGAAGTTGCGCCTCTCCTTTGCCCATTCCACCATCCATGGGATGCAGCACGTCTTCGGGGAGCGGCATCTGTGGCAACGCATCCTGTGGCTCAGCATTGTCGTGGGTGCTGGAATTACCGCCTTCAGTTTGTATTCCATGCTGAGGCATCGCTACGCCGAGCAGCAACTGGTCAGCCTGATAGAGACCACCCAGTTGCCAGTGTACCACATACAGTTCCCTGCCGTTGGCATCTGTCCATGGGGTCATGTCAACTGGCAGAGAGCCCCGAGTGCCGCCCTGCGTTTCCTTCCCCTGAATCCGGATAAGGAGTTGCTGGAGACATTCCATCAGTTCCTGGTGCTGTTGGAGCTCACCTCGTTTGCCCACTTTAACAGGGCCACGGACTTGATTACGAGGAATCTGACTGAATTGACTTCGCTGAGAATGATGTCCATGATCAACTACCTGGCCTACCGCTGTGATGAGCTCTTTGTCACCGATTCCTGCGTCTTCGACGAGACGCCCTATGATTGCTGCAAGCTTTTTGTGCCGGAGCAAACGGAGAAGGGCCAGTGCTTGGTGTTCAACTCCCTGATCTCGGATCAGTCGCAAAAGAAGCAGCTGACCAATAAGTTTTATCCGTACAGATTGAGCACGGCTGGCGAGGATTCGGGACTGAAGTTCACTATAAACGCAAGTCATGCCCTGGTGCGAGATGGCCTTAGGTTGCCATTTGCGATGAATGTAAGTGGAGGTCATATTGGAGGTCTAGGTTGAGAGTTACAAATGGGTTTTATCCCTCTCTCAGCTCATGATCAAGGAACCCCGTCAATGGTCCACGGAAATGATGTATCACCTGTACCCGGACACGGAGAACTTTGTGGCCGTGCATCCTTTGGTTACGGAAACCTCCCCAAACACCTATGAAATGAGTCCGGAAAAGAGGCGTTGTTACTTCGATGTGAGTTTGTGTTAGAAACAATGAATCATTTGATTATTTCCTCATTATAACCCACCCAGAACGAGCGGAATCCTTACTTTCAGAACACCACGCTGACCTATAATCGAGATAATTGCCTGGCTGTGTGTCTTCACCAGGCGGTGCTCAGGACCTGCAATTGCTCCACGCCGGTTTTCCTCCCTCCCATAGGTAAGAACTCCAAACTTTTCATGCTCAATTAATAGCTCTTATCACCTCCAGAGGGCATTCGTGAGTGCGGCATAGAGGATGCACAGTGTTTGGGCATCAATGCTGATATTTTTAGCTACGTGAAGACTGGCGACCAGGACAAGTACATCAACGAATCGCGACGTGGACACTTTTGCCATTGCCCCGACAACTGCAATTCGCTGCAGTACAAAATGACGCTCAATGTGAGGAAATTGGATTAGTAAGTTTATCTCCGATTCAATTGACTAAATTCAAACAAAACTGAATCCCTTACAGTCCCAAAAACTCCACGGAGCGCCTGATCAAGGCCCAGATCTACTATGGCCAACGGGTGATGACCAAGATCGTAACCAAACTAAAGTACACCAATCTGGATTTGCTGGCCAACTTTGGCGGCATCGTCAGCCTCTATATAGGGGCCTCCGCCTTGAGTTTTGTGGAGTTTTTTCTGGTTCTTGGAAAGCTGCTCTGGACGCTCATCAGAGATGTCAAGGAGGGCCTTAAGTCATATATTTAATAATAAAAATAAAGTAACAGGATTACTTCTGCTTCGTTTCCTGATCCGTGGGGTAACGTATGTAGATGGCCGGATGCGGCACAGTGGCCGGCGGCTCGGAGAACAGATCCATGTAGGAGCAGCCGATGGCCAGGGCGCTGCCATCGCTGCTAAAGTTAAGCGTGGAAATGGAGGTGTCGTACTCATGAAACTGGCACAGGCGCTTCTTGTTGAACCCGTCCCAAATGTTCACGATGCCATCGGAGCCGCCAGTGGCAAAGGTCTGGTACACATTGTGGAAGCTCAGCGCATTGACGGGATAGATTTGCTCAATGTCATTCTCCTTGTTGCGGTGGCACTTGAAGGCGAACTTGCGCCGCTGCACCTCCGGATCGTGGTCCAGATACTCGACAGCCACGCGGCCCTCAATGGAGGACATGACGTAGCCCTCCTTGTTGGGGAAGAGCCGGATGCAGCGCGTCTGGAACTTCAGCGAAGACTCGCGTTTCATGATGTAGCTGTCCATTTTGCGCAGGTCCCAGATGAGCACCTTACGATCCGCTGTGGCCACCACGATCTTCTCGTCGATGACGGACATCGAGTAGACCTTGCCGTTGTTCTGCTCGTAGGTGCCGACACAGCGCTTCTCACGCATATCCCACAGCTTGACGGTCTGGTCCCAGCTGCCGGTGAGGATGCCGTTCACGAACTCGGCATACTCCACGCACCTAATGGATTTCTTGTGCGCCCCCACCACGTTCTCCGCCTGCGTGTTCACATCAAACAGGCGCACCTGCCCGTCCAGGGAGCCGCTCACCACGTGCACAATGTCCTGGAAAAGGAAGGATTAGCTGCGGATTCGGGCTAAGGCGCGGCACTCTACCCACCATGAAGGCGCAGTCCAGGATAGGCGCCTCCTTGAGGAACTTCTGACGCATCTGGTTTGCCGTAACATCGTAGAAGCGCAGGGTGCCGTCCCAGGAGGACGCCGCCATGTACTGGTTGGATTTGGGGCCAAACTTCACCGCCGAGATCAGATCCTCGGGCGGACTGCTCAGCTTAAACTCTGGAGGATGCATTTTGTCAAGTCAAAGGGGTTTAACACAGCAAATACAGCAAACAATCAAACAAAATGGTTTTTAAATGCAAAAAAAGCGGAAAAGTTGACCAGTGTGACCCCAAAATATTTGCAGCAGTGTGACCACACCAAATAGTGTGTTAAAATGTCGATTTCTATGCTGTTATACAAGGGTTCAAAACTTCGATGTCAGTTCGGTGGTTAACTCAGCTTTTTGAAAATTGAATTTTCAACAGTTTTTCTATTAATTTTATTATTGATTTTAAATTCTGTCTAGTATATTTACGAAAAAAATAGAAATAAAAGTATGCAGCAAAAATAAGTGTGAAAGAAATAAATTCAAAAACAATTTAAAAGGATTTAAGTTGTTATACAAAAATTAATTAATATAGAAAAACCATAAAAACGGCGGCCGCTGCTACTCAGAAAAGGGAAATAATCAACGTGCGCTCTTCAATAACATTAATATATATTTACTAGCTCAAGTCCAACAAAAACATCTACTAAACTACAAAGATCCGTTTGCATATCCTCAAAAAAGAAACAGGAAATATTACGACAAATATTTGGTTTACACTAAGCTACTGGGATGGGGAACACAGACGCACTGAAATGGCATCTAGGCGTCGTTATGGAAGTACTAAATTTGGTGGTTCATGTTTTTCCTTTCATTCTTTTCATGGGATTTCCCCACTTGAGCATTGGCCACTACTCCTGCTGGCTTCACTTGGTTTTCTTGCGAAAGGAACGCTGATCCGGCGCCGCAGGACCATCGTCCGCCGTGCTCAGCGCAATGGCAAACTGGGCGGCATAGTAGGTGATCATGATCTGAAGACGGGCACCGGGCAGGGGCACGCCCATGAACATGGTGACCGCGATCAGAGCGTCGGAGATGACAAACAAAATGGCTCCGATGGCACAGAACACGGCTAGGAAGTTTCTGGCATCCACGGCGCGGGCCAGGGATCGCCACAGCATGGTGGTGATCAGGAAACAGTAGATGGGCACGCCGATGATAAGAATTTCGTCCAGTTTTTGGTGAACAAAGTAGACGACTGTAAAAAAGAGAGGTTAATTAAGTTAATTAATTAAGTCTAAAGAAATAATTAAATTAAAAAACTTACAAAGTGAAACGACCACATAGAGTCCCAATCCGATGAGCCACTTCACGGGCTTCCAGCCAAAGGCACTGACATAGAAGACGTGCGCCACGCCAAAGGATATCATGCCGAAGGGAAACAGATTCACATTGAGCAAAGCATCACCGCCGCAGGAGAAGACCAGGCCCAACAGGATCCACAGAGAGCGGCGGTATCTTGAATGATTTATGTTTATGTTAATGTTTCTCTTAAGTGTAAAAATAACTCACTCCTTTTTGAGAGAGAAGCCCTTGGCCACCACATAGAACATCAGGGCAACAATGGGCAGACACTTCAGCACTGTGGTCCATAGCTCACCCTGGGGATCCCGGCGAACCAGCGAGAAGTACAGGATAAGGGTGACCAGAAAGGGCAACAATTTGGGAGCCTGTGTCCTGGCCTTTAAGGTGGGTAAAATAAAAATAAATAAATAAATAAATAAATACCAAACATAGCTTATTTTAAAATTTAAAATCTCTAGAGATATCGTAGGTTCCTTGGGTCAAGAAATAGCCCAGCGATTATCTCTAATCTTTACCATGGTGGGTCCAAAATACACCCAACCACACCACCGATTAAGAAAATCGAACGTTTTTCAGTTCAGATTAGATTAAGGCGTTTCGGTTTGGGGCTTCTATAGCTTTGGCTTTGGTTTTGGCTTGTCCCTCGTCAAACATTTATGGTTTATGTATTATGGAGGATGTTAATTTGCATGCCATTAGCCAGTGCTTGGTGCCTAGGGGTAGGTTATTATGAATAAGTAGTAGATTGGGGGTGTATGCGGGTGCAACTTTCGCTTTTGGTGCAGGAGCTTTCAGAGCTCTCCGGAGGAATGCAGAGAGATGGATGGCAAGATGGCAAAGTGGCCAGAAAGGCAGTGTGTGCAAGGTCAAGGACAAAGCTTTACATTCTTTTTATGGACCCACTTTCAGCGGTTAGATAAAGCATCCGCAGTGCATAATGGAGGTTATAACCATAACTCAAAAAATATTTATGGGAGGTTGGGATATTTGGAAGTTAAGAAACTCTTTTTAATTGTTTATATAATTTCATTATTTTATTTTTTTTATAAGATATAAGCAAATAATAAAACAAGGGTTCACATAACCAATCTAAAAGCAAGCAGGCATCAGCAAATATTTAATTTAAATTAATTAAATGGTATGTCAGACTACAAACTTCTACCTTTTATGGTAAATATTGATCTTATCTATTATTACACAAGCTTGTTTAAAGTGCAGATGATATTATATTATATAGTTCTTATATTTATATAATAATAAATTATCAAAAAACAAAAAACATTAAAAATGCTCAACCTACTTCAAAAGAATATTTAACTTATTAGTAAACAAATACCAGCGAATGTATGAAAGCACTGAATTTCTTCTTATAAATAACTTCACTTCTACAACTAACAAAGGTTGCAATTTTAAACACAGACTTAAACCTCCGGAATCACTTACGAATCGCCCGAAATCGTTCATTGCGGATGGTAATTAGTGCAAATTACAACTATTAAGTCTAGTTAAAAGTCTGTCCAAGCTGCACTTTCACACGATTCCGGTACCATATATATATATATATACACAGTATCAAAAGCGATACGAGCGCGGAATCAAAAATAAACAAAAACTAGCCGCCACCCCGCGAATGTTGAATGGAAAAGCTGGGCAAGAAAACAATGCTAATAATACTTAATAATAATAAGGTGGAAAATGAACACGTTGCGAGCGGCACGGGCAACGTCAATAAACTGAAACCGAAACTGAAAACTGAAGCGTAGCGTATAAATTTTCGATTCGCTGGACAAAAGTTTCTGCTTTCTGGAGAGAACTCGCTCGGTCGGACATGTGGTGTGCAGCATGTGTATGCAGCATTCTGCAGATACACAGATACACGAGCCCAGGAGGGGCAGATTGATTATTTTTTTCACCTTTTGTTATTATCACAGAGCACCGAAAGAGAGGGAGGGAGAGCTGAGAACTGGTAGCTTTGCTCACGCAACAGGTTAATTGAGAGACAGAGAACTGACCGCCGAGAAAGCTCACGAAATCTCACGAAATTCCATCCCAAAGATACACATGCGCAGTGGCTCGCCCTCTCCCTGTATCTTTTCCAAAACAAAGCAACAATCTCTGCATACACTTTCACTTCGGCCGAAGCTTTCACTCTGGAGAAGCTACATGTAGCTTTCGTTGGGCCAAAAACTTTTTCGCCAGCTTATTTTGGCCAAAAAGTTCATTCCCTTACGAGTTGTGGCATTTTTCAGGCGTGCGGAAAAATTCCTCAACAGTCACGAAGACTTTTCACTGAAATTTAAGATTAGAAAAGTGCTAAAAATTTAAATATTTAAAAACCCCGGTAAGTCCCAGTCTGGAGCCTGAAAGTAGGCTCAAAGAAGAGGTGGAAAGTGTGGAAAGACCTCCCCTAAGGGGGAAAACCTTGTGGCAGGAGTGTGGAAAATTGTGTATCCCTTGGACCCACGACAAGGGCTTCCTGTAAGCAAATATACACACTCCTGTAAAGGCCAAGGAGGTGAGGTGGTGAAAATTAAAGCCAGTGTCCAGAGTGACACACATATAGGGCGAGGAAGCGCCCACCAGCTGGTGTGGCAAATGGTGTACACTCCTCATAAATGCCATAAATTATGCAAAGTAAAATTATGGTAATGCCTCGGGCCAGAAAAAGCAAGAGTGCGCGAGCCTTGCCAAGAAAGGCTGACTGGCACACACACACACTTGACCTCCAAGGAAAGCCAAGAGCCAAGACAGGGGGACAGACACTCGAGATACTGCAGGGACATGGAAATGGACGTGGACGTGGGCTCACGTACCAGAGACATCCTCCCACAAAGCCTCCCCACCGCACAAGTGCACGTTGAACTTGAGAAAATATATATTTTTCGCCCTAAATCGATGGCAGAATCTCCTAGGAACACCCTACATCAAACTGGGTTGCACTTAAACTAGGAAAATCGTTAATGGATTGTTTGAGAAGTACTAGGATTATTCTTGATGGAGATTTGCAGTTGAGATTTTAATGTGACATTTTTGGGGACGATGAATTATGCAACAAAGAGGTGACCTTAAAATCTCCGGATGGGTAAAATCTCTTAGGAGTTTAGTTTTAGTTTATATAAATAGAAAATATAAATGTAAGATTTCAGTTAATTTTTATTTTAAAAACAGAAAGTCTTACTAAAATTTTGTACAATATTTCCTTTGGCTATAAAGTATTTAATAATAAATATTTAAAGTTCCAAGCTTAATGGAATGTAGTTTCTAATGCTTCAAGGAATTTACTTAATTTAAGTTTAGCCTTCCAAAACTTTAAACTTAAAATTGAAATAAAAATGTCATAACTTAACATGAAAGGTAATAACCTGCTTAAGTAGATTGGTAACCACTTTGCGGTAGTATTTTTCTGATTTATAATTCAATTGGTTGCCAATAACTGAATTATCCCTACTAAACCGCCCCGTCCTAATCCCCAAAATAGATCGACTAAAAGAGCCAGCCAGCAGCAGCACGCGACATGGCGTGTCCCTTCTTCCGGCGAGCGGACTCGCTAACACGCCAGCCCTCGGTTATCGCCGAGCCTGGTGCCCATTGGGCCTTGGAGGATGAGGACGTCTCGGACGACGCCCTGACCCTCACGCACCTGCAAATGGCCATCCAGCTGCTGACGGCGCCTTCGAACGAAGATCTCAACACGGCCGTCACCTCGCTGATAGCCAAGTATCGCCAGAACTGGCCCAACATACACAAGCTGTGAGTGCAATCCCTTCCAGAAACTAACAACTTATACTGGAATGCAATCCTCTGTAGAAAATTGGATCCTCAGACCTTCAAGAGCTGCGCCAACTATGACTACTTGGCCGACATCCAGGAGCTGCTCCTCAAGATGGACGAGGCGAGTGCCAGCGAGATCCTGGTGCTTCTGGGAGAGGAGCTAATAACCTGCTGCTGCACGGGAATCATTGAGCGGGCCTTCCGCTGCCTGGGTACTGATCTGCAGGAATTCCTAGGCTCCCTTGATGGGGTCTACGATGTGCTCAAGCTGCAGGAGGTGAGTTGCCTTGATCTTTGCCCATAATATACCCCTAAAAATGGTGACAACGATACCCAGGAGGATGTGACCGACACTGGCTTTGTTTGCGCTGGCGAGGGAGAGCTGATCTTCACCTCGGAGCGTCCGGTTATTGCCTGGCTGCTCCTGGGCTCCCTGAAGGCCCTTACCCGGATGCTGTACAAGGTGGATGTGAACATCAAGATTGAGCCTGTGGAGGGCGATGCCCGGCGCTATCGCTACCTGTTCTCGCTGGTCAAGGACAACGCCCAGACCATGCTGATGGGTCGGCCCACTTTAGTGAGCAAGACCATACCGGAGACGGTGCAGAGGAGCAACTCGAGCAACGCCTCCGATCTGCAGATGAACTCGTCGAGCTTCTGCAAGATGTTCCCCTGGCACTTCATCATGAACGAGCAGCTGGAACTGGTGCAGCTGGGCAGGGGCTTCAGCAAGCTGTACAAGCCGTACCTGGCGGACTTTGGCTGCCAGGCGAGCACCTACTTTGACTTCAAGCGGCCCAAGGGACTGACCATGAAGTTCCGGGACATTGTCAGGCGCACCTACACACCCTTCCTGATCGGCTTGAACAGTCCGCCCGGAGTGTCAGACTTCCCGGCGATTGGCTTGGAGATCAAGGGCCAGATGGTGCACTGCCCGGAGTCCAACTCGCTGCTCTTCATCGGCTCACCCTTCCTGGACGGCCTGGATGGACTCACTTGCAATGGGCTCTTCATATCGGATATACCGCTTCATGACGCCACCCGGGAGGTGATCCTGGTGGGTGAGCAGGCTCGGGCTCAGGATGGCCTGCGCCGACGCATGGACAAGCTGAAGAGCAGCATCGAAGAGGCCAATTCGGCGGTGACCAAGGAGCGGAAGAAGAACGTCAGCCTGCTGCACCTCATCTTCCCCGCTGAGATCGCCGAGAAGCTCTGGCTGGGCTCGTCCATCGATGCCAAGACCTATCCGGATGTGACGATCCTCTTCAGCGACATTGTGGGCTTCACCAGCATCTGCTCGCGGGCCACGCCCTTCATGGTGATCAGCATGCTGGAGGGTCTGTACAAGGACTTTGACGAATTCTGCGACTTCTTTGATGTGTACAAGGTGGAGACCATCGGGGATGCCTACTGCGTGGCCAGTGGCCTCCATCGCGCCTCCATATATGACGCCCACAAGGTGGCCTGGATGGCCCTCAAGATGATCGATGCCTGCTCGAAGCACATCACCCACGACGGCGAGCAAATCAAAATGAGGATTGGCCTGCACACGGGCACGGTGCTGGCCGGTGTGGTGGGCAGAAAGATGCCCAGGTACTGCCTCTTCGGGCACAGCGTCACCATTGCCAACAAGTTTGAGTCGGGAAGTGAGGCCCTGAAGATCAACGTTAGTCCCACTACCAAGGAGTAAGGATTTATTTAGATTTATCAATGAGTTTCTGCTGACTTGTAATCCTTTCCAGGTGGCTGACCAAGCACGAGGGCTTCGACTTTGACCTGCAGCCGCGCGATCCTGCGTTCCTGCCCAAGGAGTTCCCCAATCCTGAAGGCAGCGAGACCTGCTACTTCCTCGAGGGCTATCGCAATCCGGCCTTGGACAGCCAGTTGCCGCTGGTGGAGCACATCAATGCGGCCATGAAGGACATATCCGAGGGCGGCGATGCCTAGGAACCGAATCTCCCCTAGAAACCCACGCTCAGTAGTCGTAGTTCGGTGCACTTGTATTGTGGTTTTTGCCTGTTGCCCTGCTTAGCCTAAAAATCAATAAACTCAAGCATATTCCAGCACACTTTATTGGTAGCCAGGATCCTTTTGGAGAGTTCTTAAGCCGCCTTCTTGTTGGCCTCATCCTGCTTGGCCCGCACGAAGGCCTTTACCTTGTCACCGATCTTGCTGGCCATGAGGCACTGGTGTCCCCGGAACGCCCACTCATCCACGGTGCTCTTCTGGGAGTTGTTGTCGATGCATCCCTGGGCAATCCGCAGCGCCTCCTCCTCGGTCAGATCCATCTTGAACTGCTTGGCCAGGCGGTCGGCGTGGTAGCCCTCGTGTTCGCAGAAGATGTCCAGTTTGGTGGCCGTGCAGGTGAGATACTTGCGCACTTCCTCCTCGTCGGGGAAGATCAGCTGCTTCAACTGGTTGATCTGATCGGAGCTCAGGGGGTTTTCCTTCAGGCACGCCACGCGGATCTTCTTGATGTCCTCGCTGCTCTTGGGGGTCCACTCGCCATCGGCATGGGCCTGATATATTTTGATAATTATTACATAAATTATATATTGAAATGTAGCGATTTTTTATTATTTAAATTATCTTAAAAAATGTTTCTTTAAGTTTTAAATTCCCTTAGTACATCATGTGAGAGGTGGAAATATACAAAATAAAAAACTATATGTAGTACTTAAAGTTGCTGCAATTGTTGTTATCTATTATAAGCTTTGGAAAAGTATTCTTGGAAAAATGCTAATTGGCATAAAAAGCTTTTTAAAAGCTTTAATCAATTACAGCATTTGTAATTCATATTTAATAGTTAACTTCAAGGTATACATTTCCGAGAAAAAGCTTAGAAAATTAGAAAAATTACAAATTAAATAAGGTTATAAAATAATCTTTGTATTTTATAAAATGACTTATGTTGCAATAATTTGTATGAGTCTTTTTGGATTCTTTAAAAATATCATAAATTCCAAAAGGATTTTCTTTTCTTTAATTCCTAATTTTTGTTATGTTTGCCTCACTATTCAACTTCCATTTAATTTAATATATTGTTTTCTATATATACACACCACAGCGCACAGGGCCAGAGCAACGATCAGATACTTGAGCATATTTTAATTACTATATAGTGGCACGATCGCGACAGAGTTGATATTTCAGACTGAGGCGCTGACGGGTAGGTTGCCTGGCTTTATAGCCGATCTCCCCGATCGTGGGCTCTGCTCTCCTTAGATTTTTCTCTGTGTCAAGAGTTCAGCGATAAGACTAAGGCACTCCGGTCGGGAATGAAAGCCAGACTCCGACTGGAATCGAATCATTTGCTCAGCTCTATTTGCTGCGCGAAACTTGTTTTCCTGATTAACTTGTTTATTGAATAGATTTTCGCGATTATTCACGGTAAGTAGTGTGTTGAACTGAGCTTTACATCTTGAATTTACTTTTGATTCCGAGTCAACGTCACCTGTGATGAGGCTTTATCTCTTGCATAGATCTTTCATTGGGGCTGGGAGCTATTTCCTGGTTCAATGGAAACCCTTAATAGGGTTTTCTAATATAATAAGTGGAAAGTACATATTACTCTGTGGATATTCTAGGAGTTTAATAGGTGCACTTGAAAAAATGTCAATTGTAAATGTTGAAGAGAATTTTTAAAATGAAAAGTTTGCCTGATGAATAAGTGCCTTGATCAATAATAAATAATTTTACATAAGAGGTTTGGTAGGTTATTATTTAATAATAAGAAAACAATTGAATAATAAGTTATATACCAAACTCAACATTTAAATAACTAAATATAAAATAAATTCTATATTTAAATCTAAATCCACTTATTTTTTTACTTTATTTCCACCAATAACAAAACCCGAAAAAAATAGTTCGTTTAGCCATGACATTGCACTTGACCCCTTATCATCAGATTGTTTGGGGTTTCCTATTCTCCCAAATACAGAGACATAAACTTTATATAGCCTACCGCTGATAAGGCGAATCGCAGCTCGCTTTCACCCATCGTCACCGGTGAGTTTCAGGAGCATTTCAAGTGGCCAACTGTCAATTCGTCGGCCATTATGCAAGCCCATGCAATCGTGTTTAATTAAATCAAATAAAATTCACAGCTGGCCGTCGAGTTCAAAATTAAATACTGCCCGGGGCTACGGAGAGATGTCATTACGGCGGGATGATTTCGAGCACTATATATGCGTACAGTGGCGGGCAAAATTATAGAAATGGAAAAAATAGTTTATAAATTATGGTTTGCACACAAACTATTTACTGCCTTGCTAACTTCTGGCTAAAAAACCTATAATATACTAAAATTTTAGCAATTTAAAAAATTTAGAAACAATATAGACATTTTGTTATAACCAAAAACTAAAAAATCCATAACTAAGCCAAAATTGCACTAAATTTAATTCGGAAAGGTGTTCTAAGTTAGTTTTTATAAGGGTAATAAATCTGCATACTGCATTTAATTTTTTATTAAATTCAAATTTTTATCAATTTTTCACAATTTTGACGATGTAACCCCTTATAAAATTTTGAAAAAATAAAAAAAAAAAATTTTCTTCCCGACATGGCTAAATTGACTCAGCTGTTCACGCTGATCAAGAATATATATGATTTATAGGGTCGGAAACGATTCCTTCGCTGCATTACTAGCTTCTGATGGAAACTAAAGTACTATTACAAACCTATTTGTTTGAACCCAATTGTAGTCAGGAGCAAGCCCAAAGCCTCTGGTTCGCTGGGAACTAATAACAGTAGCCTCAAAGGGGCGTCCATCCTGCTCTCCCATTCACAAACTATTATTATTATTCAGAGAGGGCGAGTCCTTAACTGAGGGTTAGATAACAGGGTAAAAAAGTACAGAAGCAGAGCGGGCCTGTCGCAATCGGAAACAGTGTTTATAACGAGTATATCCCAAACAATGGCCATGATTACCATCTCGTTCTCCATTTCTCTCTCTGTTATCCTCTTTTTTTGTTGGGTTATTAGGAAAATTATACAAAATATATATACAAGAGGCTGTTGAGGTGAAAATTATATTAACACCCCAAGGGGAGAGGGACAGGGAGCGTGTCAATGGCCAAGGAGTCAGGGAGGCGTCAGGTTACTGGGATTGGAAAACTGCAGTTAACGATCTCTCATAGGCGGGTGTCAAATGTTCCAATGCCCTGGAATTCGCAATATTGTATAAATTGTCAGCTCCTTTAGCCAATTGTTTGAAATTCGAGTTTCCTGTTTTGAAGGACTTGGAATGGGAATGTGATATGAGGCTTATTTTGGACTGCCTATACTTAAAGGTACAACGGTCGTTCTTTGTGCATTTTGGCGTGTGTCATATGAGAGTCCTTTTCTTGGGGAGATATTTGAAAAGGTAAATATTTAAGAAGTACTTTTTGATTAATGGATTTTGCTGATTTCATTTAGTATTCACTAATGTGTAATTTTCTATTTTCTAATAGTTCAATTTGATATATGATACGGGAAAAAGTTTAATGTTTTCTTAAATATTAATAAAATATATTAACAAAATATATAGTTGCTTACAAGCAAAATTACTATTTTCCAAACTTGTGAAGATGTAATTGAAAACCAAATGTATATAAAAACTTATTATACAAACATAATGTCACAAAAGTAATGCCCTACGACTTTCACCGATTCCAGGTAATTTTTCGTTTACAGTTTTTGAATTAAAAACTTTAAGAAAAGTAGAAATGGTTCCCTGTTCTGCATATGACACAAGACAATTCTAGCAACTTTTTGCTGGCAGCCAGGGTTTTTTTTTCAGTTAACAAAATGGCAGCCGCAAAAAGTTTTCTTGAACTTTTAACAAAATTTCACGTTTCCATGAGTTTCCGGTTAGTGCCGCCTTCGCCTTCGCCTTCGTCTTTGCTCCGAAAGAGAGAGCACTTCCGGCGCAAGAAAAGCAAAATGTAATTTCATGGCTCGCTGAACGAATCCGAATACATGAGAGTTCAAAGTTTCAGCTTGTTGCGACGACGAGGCGACTGTCACAGGATGCTGGCAGGACTTGAAAGCGCAGGAAGGAAGTTATTTAATGAGATTTTCTTGACGTCAAAGATAAGTCGAAGGAGCGATTTCCCCGTGGCCAGTGGAAATCTGTAAAACAATATGCAAAGAAAGCACCGAGCACAACAAGGGTGTGTGTGTCCCGAGTCCGTGCTGTGGAGGCTGAAAAGGATGAGAGTAGGAAAGCAGGAGAGCAGGACAATTGTTGCACACACTTGAAATTAAATTAACTTTTTTCGACCGTCGCCTGCCTGCATTGTTCAGAAAATCCAGCCGAAGGCCGCTGTTCCTGACAGTTCCAAGTTGCCAGAGGTTGGGCATCTGCTACTATGTGGAGAGACCTCACAGAACTAGAGGCATCGGATAGTGGCTGGGGGTCTCTTGGGGTCGTGTGCGGCACCCGAAAAGAAATCAAAAAACAAACACAAATCGCCATCGAATCGTATGAATGGGGCAATGACGCAAGGAAATCTTATTAGCCGCAATGTCTTCAAGTTTCAGTTTTTAAGTTTTACATTATTTCGTTGTGTTTCTTGTTTGCTTTCGCCGTTGGAAGATCTTTCTCTGTATACATTTTTTCGGTGGTTTCTTGATCAAATAATTTCGCGGCCACTGCACGTTAAATATTTGTCAACATTTTAAAGGCACTTTTTCCTTTGTCTCCCCCGGTCCAGCCTCTTCCCATTTTTTTTATATTTTTAACTGACTCAATCAGAAGCAGTGGCTGGGCCACTTGAGCTGAGGCTGGGAGTCAGAGTCGGAGTCATCAAAAGACCAGCAGGGAGACCAGCGAGATGACCAGCAGCAAAAGTGGCCAAGTGGCCGAGCTAAGTAAAGTAGCAATGAATGATGATCCCCGGCGATATTTCAACTTTCCTCGAGTCCGAGATCCCATAGCCAACGGCTACTTATTACACCGCCGTCAACACATTCAATTCATGTCCAAGATCGGAGTTTTCTTCAACGAGATCTAATGATTTTAGTTTTGGTATAAAACACAGCTAGTGAATACCCTTTGAAATTTATGAATCTAAGATATTTAAAGGGGTTTTTATACTGATTTTAAAAATATAATATTATATATAGTTTCCTTATATTATTAAAATATTTCCAAAAGTTTTAGAAAACTTCTTACAGACTCTTAATCATTGCTAATATCTTGGCTATACCAAAAATATATCTAAAATGTTTAAATTCAAAATAAAATAAATAAGAGAATAATAAAATTCAAAAGAAATAACGGCTCCAAAATGAACTATTCAATAATACATTTAATGTATAATTTTAATATAGTATTTATATTATAAAATAACAACAAATTCTATATCAAAAACCCCTGTCTCTGAGGCATTGCTTAGGGATTCCAAAGCAATTGGTAACCCGTTTACCGCTCCTCCTTTGAGTATCCTTTCTGAAACCGGTCGGATTTTAATGAATATACAAAGTACTTCCTTTTCATAGGGCATTTATAATTCCCCGTATCTCTTTTGATTGATTTCCATTTCTGGCTACGATTTTATTTTGTTGATTTCATTCCATTTCCATTGTTGTTGCCATGCTGCGCATGTTGCCTTGGCTGTTGATTATTATTATTAAGTGTGTGTGTGTGTGCGCCTTATATTGTTTGTATTGGACTGCCGCTACTCCTCCACCCTTTTCCTCAGGGCTGCCCCCTACTACCACCCCTTCCCTCTCCTTTCACGGGGGCAGTTCAAGCGTGAAGAGAGGCAGCCAAAGCGACGACATAATGGACATGTTTCAGCTTTTGTTGTTGCAAGCACACAGCAAAGAAAATACTGAACTAATTGTTATTGGGATTTCTTTTTAATAAAATATAGAATTTAATTTTATCTAATTTATATATTGAAAATATATTATATAGAGCTCTGCTTGGCAATTATTAAGTAAATGTCAAGTGCAACATTTTATGCAAAATTTAATTTCTTGAATAAATAATAACTGTATTCTTATATACAAAATATATATATATCCCTAGCCAGTAAGTATATTTTCCTTTGAGTAAAAGCCACCTCTATAGCACACATGTTTTCTTCCATTTTCAAGGACCTTCCATCCTACCTAATTAATTAATTTAACATCTTGATGTTATTTTCATCAAAATCTTTCACTATCAACATTTTAATGAAAGCTTCTCCGCTTTTCTCTATGTGTACAAGCCGCAGAGCAGTCAAAGTTGTCAGCTCCAGTGCTGCTCAACTAATTTGCATATTTGGTCGCAGTAAAAACACTTTATAAGTGGCCACCCAAGGGGGAGCTCCGTCCCCCGTGAGTATATGTTCGTGTACATATAGAGGCGCACTTTAAACAAAGTTAAAATGCGAGAAATTGGCCCTGCGCAAAAACACCAGTAGCTGTAGCCGCTGGCTGGCTCCTAGGCTGCTCCCAGCTCCCAGCTCCTGGCCATTTACTGTTGCCAACGACTGTGGCCGTCGACGTCAGCGGATCTGGAACTGCCCCCTAGCTTCTCCCTCTCAGTGTATGAGTGTGTGTGTGTGTGAGCTCTAAGGACCTGCACAGACACAGACAGACTGGAAACTTGTTTCTTTTGGCCCAAAACTTGTACAACATTGTTGCCGCTTTATGTTCTACTCTCTGCTGTGTATGTGTGTGTGTGAAAGAGAGAGGTTCCTGGCTCCGCCTCCTTCAATGGGCGGAGTCTTACCAGAAAGAGTTTGTGAATCTGTGAGAGAAATTTACTGATGTATGGGGGAGAAGAAGAGAGCGAGAGAGAGGTTAGACGCGCGCAGTGTTTCCGCCTCAGTCGCACGCTCGCTGGAAGGGAGCACGCGTCTCCTCGGTTTGTTTCAATTGCAATAAATTTGTAACATTCTAATAGGCCAACTTCCAGCTGCCGCCCACCGCCCAAAGGAAAAAAAAAGGAAATTAAACTCTGCTTGCTGGATACCACATTATGTATGTATGTATCTCAGAGCTTATGTAACCAGAACTCGTTATTTTTATTGCATATTTATGAAGCCCACACCCCTAGGTAAATGTATTTAATTTATAGAGTTTTAAAGGTTATTTTATTAATACATTTTAAAGCGTAATTAAGATTACACTTTATAGTTATTAGTAAGAGAAAGATACTTAAATCAGCATTTCTTAAAGATCTGTTTAGATTCCTTTTATTGTAACAGAAAATCCACAAAAATATTAATGATTTTATACAATATATAACAACAAAAATCTGGTCATTAAGTTAATGTTTGCTTCCATTTTAATTTTTAATTTGTAAACTTCAATATAAGCCAACATTTATTTATCTGAACATAATATTATTCATTTTAGGTATAGGTTATTTATAGTAAAAATAGTTTTGGTGGTTATCGGAAATTATATCATTTTTTAACCAACGGATTTAGATGAAGATAGGATAAAGGACTCAGCAAGATTTTATTTTTAAAATTCATGAAAGAAATTAAAATGTAAGAGTCACAAGACCTACAATATCTGAAACTAAACAATGCAACTTGACTTGTAACTAAAATTACCCCCTAAGTTTCCCCCAACCAACCCCCCAAGACAACCCATTTAGTTTTTATTTATATTTTTATGTCTTACGCATTGTTCCAAGCATAATGAACAAATAAACAATTATTTTGTGTACCATCAGCACTCGTTGGATTTTATTCATGGAGATTTTAGCACACACTCCAGACAGCTGGAAATGAAAGACAAGTGGCAGTGTGCCAAAAAGCCAGAAACTTTAGGGTTTTAGTTGGCGCCAAAGGGGGTGGGGAGATGGGAGGGGCGGGCCTTTTAACCCCTCGCTGGCACTCGACGAAGAGCAACAAGAGTTGCGAGAGACCATAGGTTTTTTTTTTTTGTTTTGGACGCCGAGGAAGCCATGCCAACCAGAGGCGAGGTCGCAACAACAACGCTTTTTGGTTGGCCAAAGCCATTAAAGCGGGGCCCCCAGAAAAGCTCTCTCACCAACACACTCTCGCACACACAGGCACACTCAGGGGCAACTGTGAAACAAAGGCAACACAAAGAAAATGAAAGAAACGCGACGGAGCAACCACCAATACCAGCAAAGCCAACCCCTGCCAGGGCTAAGCATTGCGTATACGCCGCGTTGCCGTTGCCGTCGCCGACGCCGCCTGGCCGCCTCGAGTGCACAATTTTGTATACAGTACCCAAAATTAGATTTTGAAACTTTTTTCTTAATTGCCAGCCTCTGTCTGCGTCGCTGTCGCTGCCTCTGCCGCTGGCTCAGTTGCTGCCCTCAGCCACCGCTACGCCGACGCAGGCAGGCAGGCAGGCAGCTGCTGTGCCACACAAAGGTGGTTGCAACACTCTCTGAATTATTTTTCCCACATCTATATACACACACACACACATATATATATACTTTCAACCCTCGTTTGCCCCAAGGGGCCTTTGTATTGGTAAATGTTGCCGCTTGCCGCCATTGCTGCTGCTTTCCTGCTGCTCCGCCGCTGCTGCTGCTGCTGCTGCGCTGCTCTGTGGCTTTTTGGCCAAAAAATTGAATCAGTTGCAACCGAGGCCTCAGTGTGTCATGTCGACCGTGCGGGTGATATTTAAACAATAAAACTATAATGATAAACATAAAAACATAATGCCAAGCGCTAAGAAATAATCAGAAAACTAAAACAAAAACTAAAGTGTGGTGTCAAGTGTCAGATATAAGAACTCTTGAGTTCTTGGTTACAATTTATAATAGTTAAATAAGAAGCTAATTAAAAACTATAAACATGAGTCTGCCGTCGGGCGTGGACATGCAGAATCTGATGTCGCAGCATCCCGTTTTGGGCGCTCTGCCGCCCGCCTTCTTCTTGCGCGCCGCCTCGGAAAGATATCAAAGAACGCCCAAGTGTGCCCGCTGCCGGAACCATGGAGTGGTACGTCTGGAGAGGATTTGGCCTGGCCGAATTTGGGTTTTTACTAAACAAGGTTCTGGTTTGCAGGTCAGCGCCTTGAAGGGCCACAAACGTTACTGCCGCTGGCGGGACTGTGTCTGCGCCAAGTGCACACTGATCGCGGAACGTCAACGCGTGATGGCTGCTCAGGTGGGTTTTATAAATTGGTTTATATTAAATTTAAAAAAAGGTTTCATAAAACAATTAGCTACACTAAATGGTAGATAATTTTGATTTGATTATTTTGGAAAGTCATCTTTTTAATGTACCTTGAATGTCAGCGATTTCATGGCTTTGGTTTCTGAGCCTGACATCTCAAAATACTAGTCTTACTGCAAAGCCAAGTTCAATCCTAATAAATTACAGATAATCTTTTGATAATTTACTTTAAAACAAGCTTTAAACGTTGTTTTCTTGTGTAAAAATAATTTAAAGAAACTTTTACTCTTGATTTTGTTAAAATCATATATAAATTTGTCAAAACAGAACGTTTAAAATATATTTAACACCCAAAACTTCCGCACTTCATACTCTCTTAGCTAATTATAATCGTATTATCGTATTAATCCCTCATCGTGTTACATTTTTCATTTACTAAAAGGTCAAATTTCCTCCAATTTCCTTGTTCCCTCTCTTCCAGGTCGCCTTACGTCGCCAGCAGGCCCAGGAGGAGAACGAAGCCCGTGAGCTGGGCCTCCTGTACACCTCGGTTCCTGGCCAGCAGAATGGTAACAGCGATAGTGCCACGCCCACGCCCCATAGTCCCAATCACAGTGGCAGCGGAGGATCGGCAAATGGAAGTTCCGGCCAGAACGGCGTCTTCCACGGCGGTATACCATCGCCGCCCAGCGACGGCTTTGAGGCCAGCTCCACTCCCAATCACCACCAGCCGCAGCAGCAGTCCCAGCACCAACACCACCACCAGCAGCCACATCCTCAGCAGCACCAGCTTGGGCACCATTCCCAGCAGTCGGCGCGCTTCAATGGCAACGAGTCCGATACGGAAGGACGCACCCGCTCGGAGCACCTCAGCGTAGGCTTCTCGCCCACGAGAACCGAGCTGGACGAGAGTCCCGGTAAGTTTGAACAAGTAAATAATACTTATGGTAGATTTTACACGGGGGAAAACAAGATGTTATTCAGAAATTAAGAGATTTCTGGGGGGAAAACTAGGTAGGAAGGCGCCATAGCTTGGAGGATGATTTAAAAATGCTTAGAAAACTTTTAATTATACCACGAATTGTGGGTAAATAAACCAGCTTCTAATTGTTTTAGTTATCACAAGTTTTATGTTTATTAATCTTGATCTCTTTTAAATGTCTTACAATATTCTATATCAGCAAAAGGTAATATTCTGATTAAGTTGCCTTAAAAACTTGTTGTTTTTTTTAACCATAAATATATATAATTTTGTTCTGTGTAGTTAACTTCCCCTACCATTTCCCGCACCTTAAAAAGCCCTTTTCGCCTGGCCTCCTCCCCAAGAGGGCTTCAGATTCTTGGGGGGCATACGTTGAGCGCGTGTTAAGAAAAATTTGTTTTCGATTGTTCAGAAATCAACGGTGCATAAAGTGCCACACTCGCGGTTGCATGTGCATACCTGCCAGTGTGTGTGTGTGTAGAGTGTGTGTGGGGTGTAGGTGTTGTTTTGACAAAGACTTAGCCAGCCAAGTTGCAGTCTAAGCACTTTGTTAAACGGCGCATGAAAATGTCCTGGGGCTGCGAGTTAAAGAAAACCCCAGGACCAGGATCCAGCAAGGACCTTTACGAGTTCAAATTGCAACAATTAAGTTAAAGTCCTCGTTAAGAAGTCAGCACTTGGCCTGGCCGCTCTTAAATAAGGAGAATTTTATGCAGAAGGGTGTGGACTTATTAAAGAACTGTCAACAAAATTAAATTTTGAATTAAAAGCTGTTTGAAATGGCCAAAGGAGAAGCCTTGAAACATCAAAAACTATAAAAAGTTAATATAAAATTATGTTAAAAATGCATAAAACACTTAAATATTATTCAACTAAAGTACAATGGGCTTAACTGTCTATTTGAACTATTATTTTAAAAGATAAATAACTATAGAAAGCAAGACCACTTCCCACCCAAAGAGTTTCTCACAAGATTTTCACAAGAAAACCCTCTCAAAGATCGAACAATAAAAGTGATTGTAACATTATCCAATATTATTGTGTATTATCCCGACTAAGCCAATCAATTTTCAAGCAGATTGCCTTACAAAAACTCAAACTCCCCTCATTTTCAAATCAAATGCCAAACAGTTACAAAGTCTGACGGGGGCAGAAGGATATCAAGGACCTGTTCGGCATCATTAGGACTATCGGCTGCCAGGGGGTAAGACAAGCCCAAGCTGAGGGCCCCTGGACAAGGAAGAAACGTGAGATACTCCCCCGTGTGGTGGCTCACTTGTCCTTGTTTGTTCGCCTTTTTACGAGAAAGGAAAACACAGAAGGATTCTCACGCGAATCAATTGGCAGGGAGGGAGGAGAGAGCCAAAAGGAACCTGTCTATATTTAAGGTACTCGACTCCCTTTTTATTTGCAATGAAATCCAAGACGATTTCACGCTTGAATTTTTATTTTCGGTTACCGCTGCGATTGGATATTATATATTGGTATCCACGCACCCCTCGAACTTAATTAAATTTTCACTGCGGCTTCGTCATCCGCAGAATCAAACAAAATAAAAAGGAAAAAAGAAAAGCCGAAAAAAAATATCATATAGCTTGTTTCATTTCTGAACAAACAATAAAAAAACAACAGCAGGTTGTCCCACGTTGGCATGTCAACGCATCCTGCGCGTCCTTCTCGGTGTTTGCGATTCCCGTGATTACATTTTTCCCATTTCTACATTTGATACTTTTATTTGCTCTGAACTCTGTCAAGTGGAAAACCGCACAGTTTCCACTTTGCTACCTGGGAAAACCAAATCTGGCATCAGGAGTTTAGATCTTGAATAAGGATATCACTCTTAATAGGATAATTGGTAAATAGGTTTGAAAATTTCATCAATTAAAAGCAGACTAAAGAATGAAGTGAATGAAAAATATGTACTGATGGAATAATTACAATTTTAAATAAATTTATATTTAAATAAAACAATTTATTCTCTCATAAAATTAACCCAAAAATGTCTCCTTTGCTATATCCTTTCAGTTTCCAAACGCGGCGCAGCCTTGTCCAATGAAACCGACCAGGACACCGGCTCCGAATCAGGCTCACCGAGCAGTCCTCGGCCCAAGGTGGCCGGACTCTTCAATCTGACCGCCAGCCTGTCGCCCGCCCGCACCGGACCGCCCAGCTCGCCAGAGTCCGACCTAGATGTGGACTCGGCGCCGGACGAGGCCACGCCGGAGAATCTCAGCCTGAAGAAGGAAGACAGCCAGTCGCCACCCAACACGCCCGCCGAGAATCTCCATTTGCTGCGCTCCTTCGGCGGCAGTCATGGCCAGGGCTTCCTGCCCTATCACCACACACAGTTCCTGGCCGCCGCCGGACTGCCAGCTCACCACCATCCGCCTGAGCAGCCACCGAATCTGCCGCAGCATCCGCAGAGCCTCCAGCAGCAAAGATCCCCCATCGATGTCCTGATGCGGGTCTTTCCTAACCGACGACGCAGCGATGTGGAGCAGCTGATGCAGCGCTTCCGCGGCGATGTCCTCCAGGCCATGGAGTGCATGCTGGCCGGCGAGGATCTGGGTCAGACGCCAACGCCTCCGCAGGTGCCGCCCTCGCCCCCCTTTCCCATGAAGTCGGCCTTCTCGCCGCTGGTCCCACCCTCGGTCTTTGGCTCGCCCACGCATCGCTACCATCCCTTCATGCAGGCCCATGCCAAGCGGTTCCTGTCCGCTCCCTATGCCGGCACTGGCTACCTGCCCGGCGTGCTCAGTGCGGCGGATATTGAGCAGTCGGAGTCGAACGGAGCCGGAGGCATCGGGCTGGATCGCAGCAGCAATGCCGGGGACTCCCAGGATTGAGGCAGCGAACCGGAGGCCAACGGCGCCGCCGTCTTCCGGCCTTTCGAGTAGGATTTTCCCGAATGCCAAATCATAGATCCACAAACCTAAGTTGGGGGGAGGAATCGGTTCTAAAAATTGCTGAACACGAATAAGCCATCACTGGAAATTAATTTCAAACTAAAATGTCATTGGAAATATGTTTAAAATGATTATCCCAAGAGGGAATATTTCTATTATTTTATTTTCGAATATTTCTTTAATTGTTCTTTGTATGTTCTTCCCTCCAGCTTCATCTCGATTTGTCCTAGCTATGCCTAAAAAAATAAGTGTAAATTTAGTTTACCCTTAAAATCTTAGCACAAGTATTGTAACATAGAAATCGTAATAATAAACTTAAGAGAACGCAAATCACTTGATCCCAGTTATAAGAGCCATAAAATGTATTTGTTTAGCTGAAATTAATATTATAAACAGACGATGACGATGACGATGAGATTACCTAATTGAGATATCCGTGTGTACCATATAAACCATATAAAATTATATATTAAATATCATATTATGTATTAGATAAAGAATACATTTCAAACACTGTGTTAAAGTATTTAATAAATCTACAAAATAATTCAATAAAATGAAAATGAAGCAAACTTAACAAATATGTATCTTTGGGGGAAAGTTTTAACGAAAAAAAAGGCAGGGGAATATTGGAAATCAATTTGTGCATTGTGAGCCTTTGCCAAACTCTAGAGGTCAACAACAACAGCAAGTCTAGGAAAAATATGTTAAAAATTTACCATAATGGATAACTTTATTCGATTTTAGCCTTAACTATATAGGTATAATTATTAATTTAAATATTATCTTTTGAAGTTAAGCTTAATATTTGAAGAGCTGCCAAAGGATGCCGTTTAGATCTCCGGAAACACATTAATTTTTACAATGTTGCTCTCTAAGGAATCTGTAAATAATTAAAACGTTTATGAGTTTTTTTTATGTTCATAAATTACCCTCAATCGGTAAACTCATTTTCATCTTCTAGTTCGTTAGTCGAATTTGGAAGCATATCGATGGCCGTTTCAACTAAATCCAACGTTCTGTTTATTTCATTTTGAAAATTTTCAAGACTTTCCGCATAATTCAACATCGCGTTTTGAAGTCTTGATTCCGTATCGTAATCGTAAGGACGTGCCTCGACCCACAGGAGACCAATCGTGAGAAGGAGCACCAATGCGAACAGCTTCATTATTTTAAATTATAAGTTTACTACAGACTTAAAAGCCAGCTCATTGCTGAGTTTCTTTTAAAATGTATTTAAAATATATTTCCAATTAATAAATTATTATATATTACTGTGTAGTATTTCATAAATCTACAAAATAATACAAGAAAATAAAAATTAAACAAATTTAAAAAGAATATTTCTTATGTGTTGAAGTGAAGTTTTGTGGAAAAACTTAGGGAATTTATTATTAAGTTGTTCCTTTAAAAGTTGATGGAAAATAGTTTTCACAGCTAAGAAGTTATTGTATCTTTTAAACAGGATTTTTTCGTGTAGAATTTGGGGCAAAAAAGTTAAATTGGTTGCACTTTTGAAGCGTAAGTCTTCCTTAAAAAAATGTATAAATATAAAGCATGACTTATAGAATTTTTTAAGTCCTAAAAAGTAGTTTCCTGAAAAAGCCATTAGTACTAACTTTTTACCTTAAAATACATAAGAAAAGTAAACCGAAAATATTTTAAATAGCTAACTGCCTTCAAATTATTTTATATTTCTGCCAATATCAAAACATAAACCTAAAATAAATTTAAATGTCAATGCATTTCCCACACTTGGCCCCCCACTTGGGCCTCATCAAATATAAGTCAAACTAAATCATCATCTATTTATCCCGTTAAAACCCCTCAATTAAGTCAATCAATAAATGCCTATGCAATTTTTCCCTAATCAGAGCAATTAATAAAAACATTTAATTGAAAACTCGCTATTGTTTGGGCGTCCGGGATAGCCAAATAAATATTTAATTCGCACAGCACGTAATTTATAATCGTGAGGGGAGAACAAAAGGACTCGCCACCAGCACCCCAAATAAGAAGCGCAGGACCAATTATAGAAGGCCACCCACAACCCGAAAATACCCGAAAACTGGTCAGCGCACAAAGGCCGATAACTATAATAATGTGAAGCGTTAATCCGCAGCGTCATTATCTATTTGCCACTATATTTGGACAAACAAACTATTCCTGCCGAGTGTGAAATCCTTTTTCGCCCAAACGGATCCCCCGGCCTGTTGTTATTGTTTTTGTTTTGCCGGACACACGACACGATATAAACAAAATTATAATAAAACTAATGCCCACACATGACCGGCACATTCCCCGGGGAACATTTTACAATGGCCCAAAGTCGGATAGTCGGGCCAGGAGCGGGGGAAGGGGAAGGGTCAGGACAAGGAGCACGGCCACAATAATATCGGTTACACGCATGCCGAGTGCAAATTACAAAACTATTTTCCAACATGCGACTGAATGGATAACAGAATTAAATTATTGGATATCAATTTGTGCATTGTGCGCCTTTGCCAAACTCGAAAAGTCAACAGCAACAGCAAGGATGTGTCCAGGATGTGTGCCTGTGCCTGTGCCCGAGCCCTGTGTGCCCTTATGTATTTATGTGGACTCGAGCCCCCGGAACAATGGCCCGTTCTATGTACCATTGTCAGGACACACAACAATGCCGGTGGGCCAGGCAAGGATACCGATGGCACAGGCTAGTGGATGGAAGAGGATAGCGCAACTCGAGTGGACAATGGCCAAAGGACAAAGGGAGGACGAGGGCGAGCCCGGTGGCGAGGACACTGGTGAGCCAGTCAGTCAGCAGGACGAGCTGTCGATAATATCTTAGAGTAACAGCGGCCCAGGACCATGTAGAGTAGTTATGGCACCGAACAATGAAGCTGGAGGAGCGCCAAGAGCTGTGATGCTGGCTTAGCTCCTTTTTAGGGATAAAATACAGAATTTTTTAACCTTTTCAATTTATTTTTATATAATATTTTTGCTTCCTTATTAATTGGCAACATATTTAAATCATATTTAAGTAAAAGAAACTAAGCAATGAGCTGGCTTTGCTTTCTTTTCTTATCAATTCCTGCCTTTTGTATTTTAAATTTTTAAGAATAATACCATAAAGAGCACTCTTATCAGCACCAGAATTCCCAACAATTAAACTCAATAAAAAAATTATTAAATTACAATTATTAGAATTAAATCTTCTCAGAACTCATCATTTTTGGCATTAGTTTTCTTAGAAAGTAAAGTAGAAAATGGTATAAAAGACGATGTCCTATTCCAAATTAGTTCAGTTCCAGTTTCAAGTCTGTATTAAATTTATAATTTAAAATAATGAAGTTGTTCGCGTTGGTGCTCCTTCTCACGATTGGTCTCCTGTTGGTCGAAGCACGTCCTTCGTACGATTTTGAGGAATCAAATAAAAGACTTGAAGACGCGATGGTGAATTATATGGACAGTCTTTATAAATATCAAAGAACCCTTAACGATGCATATGATTTTGTTGAAAAATCGAGACACGAACTACAAGAATTTGATTATACCGATTGGGGGTAATTTGTAAACATTAAACAAAACACATACATAGACTCTTAAAATGTCTAAATTATTTACAGATCCCTTAGAGAGCATCGGAGACCTAAACGGCATCAAAAAATGTCAATTAATAATATTACCGATATTGTTAAGGCCAAAATCGAATAAAGTTATGTATTAGCAAATTTTAAATATATACTTTTCTATTGTCAAGAGAGTAGAATACTTAAAGGAAGCGACAGTTCTTTGAATCATCTTAACTACAGTAAACAGGTTTTCGTTAGAATATTCCTTGGAGATTTGTATGCCAAAGATTTATTATTAGTTTTCATTTTCTTAATGGAATTTCTATTATTTAAGCATTTCTAAAAAAAAAAGTAACTAAAGACAAACTGCCATCACTGCTAGCGAGCGGAAACAGGAGCAAAAACAGGAGCCAAATCGAGAATAGAGAATGGAGGCCAGCGGGCAACATGCATATGCTCCTCGAGTGGCGGCACAAAATGCATACAATGTCAGGCATGGAAATTCTTGATAATAGACAATGAATTAATAGCAGGCGATTACCAAACGGGGAAAGCAGACTCGACTCGACTCCCTTGAAGAACCCACAAAATAATTCAATCCGACAATCCAACCAACCAACCGACCGACCGACCAGCAAATAGACAGATCGAACCTCAGATACAGTGCCAAAGGGCACAAAAAACAGCAGAGATTTCTAGATTTTGATCTGAATCGGGTAATGGGAATGGGTTTTCCGCCGGCAGATGGCACATGCCCCTTTCTTGCCGTCAATTAAAAGGCAACCAACAGCAAATAAACACTCAAGGAATGGCGGTTAAAGGGGGTTAAGTGTCGTGGTTCCAGTTCCAGCCCAAGGCCACAACAAGGGGTTACTTAACCGCCCAGGATTAGCCGGAACATATGTTTTTCCCCCGGCTAAGACAGGGGTGGTCGGTCTGTCGCAGACTTTTCATTATTTGTTATTATTTATCTCAACATTTCAAAGACCCCTTTAAAGGCCAACGCAACCTGCAAAAGGTCTTTATTTAACCAGAAAAAAACAAAGCTTTACTTTGCCAACAAACATTTTTTCCATTGAGAAGCTATTTTTTCATTTCTTTTGGTATTGTAGCAATTAATAATTTCACTTCAGCTGAAATCAGAAAACCTTAGAATAAAATCATGAATCCTTATCTCTTCGTAAATAATATAATTGAGCTTAATTTAAGTCGTAAAATATAATACTGCGTTATTAGCTTCTGACTGAAATTATAATAGCCTCAAAGTGTATAAAAATATATAGTATGGTTACTGATTAATATTCAAAAAATTCATATATTCTATGGTATTGTATTGCTGGGCTCATTACTTTTCGGGTGAATATAAACAATAATTTAGCACTTAAACCAAATCTACATTTCAGACGTTTCCCTGTCTAAAATACGTTTAGTTATCGTTTGGCTGCGGAACCTTTCACCATGAAATCGTGTGCTTTGGGGATTATATTATTACTCTTAATTACGGATCAACTACAGCTTGCCTTAGGAGACTCAGTAAAGTATTTATTAGAAATTCGGAATAAAAATAAACCAGTAACTATAAAATAATATAACTTTTAAAATTTCAGTTGTCCCTGGCATGACCTAGTAGCTCCCGAAGGCATTTTCCAAATTAGGGTGAACGGGTCAAGGCCCGTTCTCTGCGATGGCCAAGGATGGATGGATATTCTAAGTCGGGGCGACGGAAGCGAGAACTTTGATCGGAACTGGACGGACTACAAGGAGGGATTCGGGAAGCTGTGGGGAGAGTTCTTTCTGGGCCTGGAGAAGCTGCACCAGCTGACCAAGGACGAACCACACTTGCTGTACGTTTACCTCAGGGACGTTCACTCGAATAGCCGCTTCGCTCGCTACGATGGCTTCCAAATTGGAAGCGAGGAAGAGTCCTACAGTCTGAAGGCTTTGGGCCGGTATTCCGGGTCAGCTGGGGACTCCTTGGGTATTCACAGGGGCATGAAGTTCAGCACCATTGATCGGGATAATACCCGATCCAAGGCCAATTGTGCAGAGATTTATGGCGGCGGTTGGTGGTACAACGATTGCGGAGATAGGTGAATAATATATTCTTGTATATTTTAAGTTTATTTAATGCTCTTAATTGCAGTGACTTAACTGGAAAATATTTCAATATCGGTAAAACAGATCTGAATGGCATTCTCTGGAAAACTTGGAGAAAGCACGTCTTTCCTCTTTCCATCACTAAAGTAACCATGTCTATAGTTTCCAAGTCCCAAAATGATCAGATTGAACGCGAATGGCAGAGCTATGACAGAACTCTGTGATCCATTAATCGAACCACACAATATACTAGATCCCCTGCCAAACTCTTTAGCTGCTTACACCGCGCACATGTCTTTTTCTGAGGCTAATTCAAGGGTGGTCTCTTACAGATTTTCACTGACTTGTTTTTATTTGCTTTTCCACATTTCAAAAACTTATTTTTACAAGTCTCGTTTGGTAATTTAACCTGCGGCAGGTCAGAGGCCATGTAGCAACAACTAATTTGGCAGCAGCAACCCCCAGTCCCCCCGAGAAGATGCCTTGTTTTTTCAACAGACACCGGAGGGATGAGTGAAAAAAAACCAAGAAAGGAAAACAAATGCCATTTCAAGTAGCAAACGTGTAAAGTAGGTGGCCCAGACCTTTTTGCCGCCGCCAGACAACTGAAGAGAGAGACACCGTGGAACCAGCAGCCATGGGAAAGGGCCTTTAAGCGATTAAATTGGATAAGGATAAATTGGTTAAATGGGGTTTAAATAAATAAATGGATAATCAGTTGATATATGTGTTAAATAAAATGTTAAAGTTTTGTTTTAATATAAAAAATAAGGAAGCTTATTTATCTTATATTTAAATTCTAAAAACATTACCTCTCATATTATTCTTTCTTATTTCTCTTATATATAATATAATACTTTCTTCTTTAACAATTAACAAATGAGTAAATTTTCTTCAGAAATATAAATATAACTATTAATCCTTCATCTAAGAAGCCAGGTGACTCTAAAATATAATCGTAGTGAAAATATAAATGTCACAGAGATAAGCTTTATATAATTTTTAACTCTAAAAAGTGTTTTTAAATAAATCTTAGTAACTTCAAAATAATAAATAAATCGTAAAAAGCTTTCCAAGTAAATTAAATTGAATTACTCTCAATGTCTAACCTAATACAAAGTATTTAAAAATATTTGAAAATATATTTAAGAATAGAAAATGAATTCAAATAAAATCATAAAATATTAATGGATCCTTTTACCACTGTGCCACAATGGTTTTAATTTTTTTTGGGGCTGGGGCTGAGGCAGGGGCAGTTTGTCAGTCAGTCACAGTCGGCTAATAAGCAGAGAGTCCATCAATAGAGGGAATAGTGAAACCGCGTCGCCTCGTCTGTTGAGCAACAACTGCCAAAACGATGAGAAATCAATTTTTTTTTTATTTTTTCGTTTCATTTTTCGGATCGGATCGATGCGGTGCGGTTTGTTTTGTTTTTGATTTTTCGGTTGTTAGTTGTGTTTGCCGCCCAAGCAGCCAACACATGATATGACCATTTCCATAAACAATTATAAGCAGGAAAATAGTAATTGAAATGGTTTATGAAATGTTTCAGTAATGGAAACTCTAATATAAAAAAATTAAATCATTAATATAATATATGGGAGCAAAGATTTTCAATCATTTGTAAATATATTATTTGCACAAATTAATTTGCAGGGTTTTTTTTTATTTATGGTGGGGTTTTAGGTGTTTTTTTTGGGTAAAGTTTTAGGTTTTTTATAGCTTCTATTAACATTATTAGAGCTGCCTTCAAGTGATTTTTTTAGGATATTTAAAGGTGGGTTTTAACGGCTTTGAACACAGGTTTATGCTGCTTTAATTATTATTTAACCATATACAAACTCCTACTTTTATAGTCGATATATATATTTCCAAAGGAAATGAATTATTAAATATCAAAAGACAACTATTATTTTGCCCACCACTGTGGCCGGCTGTGAGTACGGATGAGCATATGAATTAATACAGTAGCTGGGATGGATGCCTAATGGCTAACCCCGAAGACCTGTTCTTTGATGCACTCACTCTGCGGTTTTGTTTACACAAAATTCATAATTTACATATTGTGTGTGCGTGTGTTTGGTTAGTTGTTTTTTTGTTGTCTTTCGGATGATTTTTTACATTTGCTGTGTGTGTGCCCCTCAGCCTCAGCTAGGAGCCCTGTTCGATTCGGTTTGATTCTTTTATCCCAGCCGACAAAATGTCCCCCTTCTTCTGGAATTTGTCGCTGCACGGCAACTGTACCTTAGGGATATTTTTAGTCCTAATTTCTTTTTTATTTTTTTAAAACCCACCCAAACTGAAGGCGTGGGACGGATCCGAGGCCCGGGGTGGTGGTTGCACTCCGCCATTGTGTTTGCATATCCACGATCCTCGTCAAGCGATTTGATTCTGATTTTCATTCTCGTTTTTCGACTGCGCAAATGTCACGTGTGTGTCGCCCTGTCTCTGCGGTTGACATCGACGTGTGATTCCGACTCTGAATCCTCAGCCCAAGTGGTAAGTGGTTGGGTAACCATGTGGCCGCCACTCCCCCGGTGTCTCGGGGTGGTGGTTCTGCGATGGGGTTAACCCGGTCGAGAGCGCGATAAATATCTAAATGCCGTGATTTGCCTCATCAAGGGGCGTCGTTGTTTATCCAACAGTTTATTTGTTTGTTTAATTGTCAACTGATTTGTGGGCTTGCGAGTGTTTCGAGTCCTTTGTGCAGGACACGTGAAAAGTACGGAGATCTGCCTTCAAATCAGGCAAAATAATTGGCACGTGTGAACGGAGAGTAAGATGTTAATAGATTTCGATCAAAGTTCAATTTGTTTGATGTTTTTTCAAGGGTTTTGGTTACTTGATAGACTGTTTAAATTATTTATGAAATTATTTTGAATATTTACAATTGGAAATTTACTACAAAAATATATCTAAATTATTAAATATTACATAATACAAATTTTGAATTAAATAGAATATGTAAAAATATTTCTAAAATATATATACAAATTGAATATATATTCCAACTAATCAAAGTCAACAATGACCCCTCAAACACCTTTTCAAATAAAATGAAATTACAATACAACTAATCTAACAAGGAATGTCCAATGTCCGACACTATAAAAAGCAATTCTCTCCACTATATATATTATGTCCCCTGCACTCGAGCCACAAAAGACGGATGAAAAACAAACACTGGGTACAATATGCAAAATAAAGGCTCAAATATAATAAAGAGAGCCAGGAGCAACGGCAACCGGAGCACGAAAATGGCAACGTAACTCAAGAGCTACTCCAAAAGCGAGCGAAGGAACAAAGGAGCAGCCCCGAAAGTGTGTGCGTGTGTGTGTGAGAGAGGAGGGTGGTAGGGGGTTGGCAGGACGAAACAATACGGACAGCTCTCACGCAGGCAGAGTGTGCAAAAAATATCATTTAAAATAATATTAAAATAAAGCCAAGAGTGTGTCAGTCAGTGGAGGAAAAAATAGTCAAATGACAAGCACTGGAAAGTTTTTTGAATATCAATAATAGAGAAAGGATAGATTTTTCTAGAAAATATTTATATTTGTAGGTTTAGTAAATATTTTTTAACATTTACTATATTTTAAGAAGCATAGTAAACCTTTAGTAAATATTTTAAGAAAGAATTAAAGAGATTAGGAAAGAAGATTGTTTTCAAAAAAGGCTTATTGGAAATATAAATGTATATCTTAAGTCTTCTGTAATATTTGAAAACAACTATTGTATTTTTTTACCGTGTTAAAAAAATATAGAAGGAAACAAATGGGGGCGTCAGCGAGGCGACAAACGGCCAGCGGACTAAATAATAAAAAAAAAAACAATAATGGAAGTTATACATTTTATTTCACAAACGAATGGCAGTTGGTTGGCTGGCCAAGGACTCCGGTTTGGTGTCCAGGACTCCGCTCCGCTCTGCCAACCCCTTCTGGAACTTTGGAATGTTGACAAGCGGGGCAGCAGAAGCAACAAGAAACACACAAAGCGAATATATATAATCAAATAAAACTGAAAAGGATTCGCTTTTGTGCGCTTTGTTGTTCGAGTAGTTTTCCGTTTCCCTCGCTCTCTGTGTGTGTGCGAGTGCGAGTGCGAGTGTTGGTGGGGACTCAAAGGAAATAAATGTATTGTATTTGGAAGCGCAGCTACAAATGAAATTTTAATCAAAATGTAGTTGAGTGCTGAAGGGTTGTTCGCTCCGATTGTCCTTCCCTTATGTACACTCCTTTATTTGAATTGTTTCTGTCAATCAGCGCGGCTTCAGCTTCTTTTGTTGCTGCCGAAGGATACAACTGATATTGATTTCGGGATCGAGTTCCAGTTCGCGTTTGCGTTAGTGTTCGTTTGCCGCAAAGCACAATGGCTGGAGGACAGGACACATCAGCCAATGGGAAAAGTTTCAAAGATGCGACGTATGTACATACGGACACACAATGGCAGGCGGAAATGCTCTCAGAACTTTCGGGATAGTTTCATAATTGCGAGCACAGCAATGGCGCTGGCAAGGCAGTTGTCTTGAGTTTTGTGCTCCCGAGTCCTGGAGTCCTGGCCACTTGGCATTGCAACCCACTCAGATAGCTGTGGTCAAAATAAAGGACACTTTCAGCCTTAAAAACTGTATTATTTTTAAATTTTTTATGTTTTAAATCAGCAGCTATTTTGCTCTTACTTATTTTTCCTTCTTTTTTAAAAAGAATATTCCCAATTTTAAACCTCTATAAATTTGTACCCTATTATAAACTGCAGATATATACCACATAGTTGGCGTTGTTACTTCGTCCTGGGAGCGGCATGCGACATGTTTCTCCATTGGAGGAGGAGGACGCACAAGCTCCGATCTTTCTCGTTCTCGCAGCTGGTGGCAAATTTCATTTGAATGCGGTCGGAAAGCGCTTGTTGGCATTGCACAGCAACGGGGGGTTATCCATATATATATATTTTATACATATATTTTATGTATAGCTTTGGGCCCCGGCTGAAACTCAATTAAA